AGGTATCTTATATTATTAGATATGTTATTATAAAACATGCTCTAGCTATGGAGTTATTGATACTTTAAGTGCAAAATAATGATATAAAACCTTAATAAAAATGCACTTTTAAGTACTAATCAATGGCTAACATGAATTTTAAAGGGAAAGTTAAAGGAAAAGAGTGGGAAAAAAAGAAAGAAAGAAAGAAAAGGTCGTTGGCAACACAATGTCGCCTAAAACACCACCATGAATTTTAAAGGGAAAGAGTGGGAAAAAGAAGAAGAAAGAAAAGGTCATTGGCAACACAATGTCGCCTAAAACACCACATGTGCTAGCCCACATGAAAACAAGCATCATAGTGCTTCCAACTCCAACATGGAAGCCGCTGTTTGGTCATCAGAATGTGTCTCACGTATCTCTCAAAGGGCATAGATGTTACCACACTACGGACTTTTTAAAAAAATTACACATTATATTCATTAAAATATTGTATTACCCCTTAATCAAATTTATTATAACAAAAAATCTACGATGAAAATACAAAAAAAAAAAATTAAGTGTAATTAAATCATTTTACGATGCTAAAAAAGTAAAAATATCTATTTGTCCCTAATGATTTTAATAATAACTAGTAAAGCTTAGTGATTAAAAGCTAAAGAAATGAAAAAACATTTAAGTGTAATTAAATCATTTTACGGTGCTAAAAAAATAAAAATATCTATTTGTCCCTAATCATTTTAATAATAACTAGTAAAGCTTAGTGAAAAGACCATATTACCCCTCATATCAAGCTTAATGATTTTGTTTAAGAAAAGTAAAAGAATAATTTTATTATTTCAATCCATAATAATTTGGGCTTGGGTATCAAAAATTTACTAATAACTTTTAGTTGTTTTTTTTTAACATGAAATATTTTTTGAGGTAATGGGTGCTGAGGCACCGTAAACTAATTTTATTGACCAAGCTTATTCAATATCTAAGAGCGAAAGAGAATTTTTCATGAACTCATCATCATTTATGTGAAATGATATATTAAATGAAACACTATGAGAAATATGCCTTATTTGATAGGAAACCTAAAATTTAGGGATAATTATGTTAATATATTATTATGAAATGTCAACTTTATTAATGAATTTGAGATAATGAAACCTAAAATTTAGGGATAATTATTTTAATATATTATTATGAAATGTCAACTTTATTAATGAATTTGAGATAATGAGCGAGAAAATACTTAAGGAGTTTTATTTTTAAAAAAATAGTTGGCTTATAACTTTTTACTGTTGAGAGAAAAATAGTTTTTTACTTTTAATTATGGATATTTATCTAAAGATATTAAATTAACTCATAAAGTAAGAGCACAAATAATATGTTCTCTCAACTCAAATGTATTGCTACATGACAACTATTTTAGAATTTGTTAGGGATTAGTAGTTAAAATAGAATTTGAAAAATACGAGATTTTGAGTTGTTGAATGATTACAATAATAATGTCTCAAAAGAATTATTTAAATATATATTAATTGACAATTGTGAGATTTTGATCCATGCATCTAAAGTTTGCACATGAACAATGTTTTTCAAACTTTGGGATGATTTTTTGCAAATAGTGTCTCAAAAGAATTATTTAAGCATATATTGATAAAAATGATTTTATTATTATTATTATTTGTACTTTTTGTAAGTTTAAGATAATAGGTTTATTATGCTACCATGCTTTATGAATCTTACAAATAGATTTGAGACTTTCTATTATTCTCTCGTAATATATTCTAAAAAGATGGGAAAAGAATGCACAACTAGAATTTTTGTTTGAAGATAATGTTAATCGGAAAAATAATACTTTATCATCATCCATTATACTTTGTTTAAATAAGTTAACGAGGAGAGCCTTTGTTATGTTGAGTATAACTCCTACTGAGGTGACGAGAATGATAATATTAAAAAAATAGATAATATTAGAAACTTGAATTCTTTTAGTACTAGTAATGAGAAATTAGTGTTAGATCCTGCAAATAAGTGGCCAAAAGGAATTTGTTTTTATATAAAAACATAACTTAAGCCTTGATATGGAAAGAAGAATAAAAGAATATCTTAAAAAAATAATGTCGTTTTAATGGGTCACCCGAGTTAATTTTGATTTTTTAAATTAAAATAACATCATTTTAATAAAAAATAAAAGTTAACGAATTGCAACCGAGTTTTTAATCAGATCTTGTAAGGTTATCGAGTCAACCTTTCAGGTCAGCCGAGTCACCTTTAATTTTTTTATTTTTTATTTTTTTTTAAATTTAGTCTAGATTTAATTTCGGGTTGGTCGAGTTCGGACCAATCTGTCAAGTTAAATTTCAAAACTATAATATTTTTTATAAAAATAAAAAATAAATTCCTCATAAGTTATGTATGCACCAACTAATTTATAATCTCAAGTTATGTATGCACCAACTAATTTATAATTATAAGAATCGGCGCTTGGTATGTCTTTCCAACCATAAAAATTAATTTTGAGGTAAAATTTTTCTCAATATTATTATTTATTCATATTATTCTAGATACAATTTCTTTTTATAAAATTTATCTAATCATTGTTAAGGGTACAATCCATCAGCCCAAACTCAAACTCAAAGGACTAGTTGCTTTGTAGAAGATGGAAGCTAATGATGAAGATTTATTAAATATTTTATTATAAACTTTTATTTTGCTTTTAATGTCTTCAAACAATAGATAGTTCTAAAAATATTATTACATTTTTAAGAAATTGGGATTTATTATATTATTTATTTACAATGTCTCTGTTATCACATGATTGATGAATTATTTAGGTTTAATAAGAATCGTTAAATACATGTCTTTTCAAATTTTGACATAATTTGTTATATTATTTGTTTACAATACCCTTGTTATCACAATTTCTTTTGTAACACAAGGCAAGATTAAAGCATGGCTTTCCATTTTATAGAGTGCCTATATCCCAGGATCATGTTCATAAAAAGGAAGGTGATGTTCTTTCTCATGCTTTGATTTTCCAGAAACGAAAAAGATAAAAACTTTTACACCTATAAAAATATAAAATGAAGCACCTGTGAGATATATATATATATATATTCTCGAGCAGGATAAGGATTATAAGATTGTAATCAATAGAAAAAACACACACATTTCTTATAAATTTTTTTTTTAAATCCAAGCCGTAAAATTACGACATTACAAGTAATAAGAATCCCTAGCTCAAATGTGATTAATTAGGTGAGTCTGCATCCTACCCACTCAAACGACTACAGTTCATATCAAACAATATATTCTAATATATCTACGCTTCTATCAAGACAGCTAGACTTGTTAAGTCAGCGAGATGACAGTTCCTCGGCAGTAGAAATGTTCTCATTGATTGATTTCAAAACCATAGACCTGTCTTTTGTATTCTGTCCTTTCAAATCAACTCGTAAATGGTTTTTGATCCCCAGAACCCTTCTCTCTTGATCCTAAATAGTAATCTAGCTGCTGATAACAAAGAACCCTCTACAATTTCAAATTAAAATAATACATCTGATTACAATTATTAAATTATAATTTAACCCAGATAGAGACGATTCAAGAAAACCCAATTGAACTAAAAGCAAGAAGAAAAATAATGTAAAGGGAAACCTTTCTTAAGAGTGTCTGCCCTCAACGGTGATTGAGAGGTGGTTGTTCCGCTTGACAATGGATCTGGTTTGGAACAGAGCTATTGGGATTTGGTCGGTGTAGAAAGGAGGCGTAGGTTGTGATTTTTTGTTGTTTTGAGTGAAGATAGTCATTGAAATCACGGTAGGCTGTGATTTTCTGGGGAATCGAGGGTTGTCGGAAGAAAAAAGAGGGTTGAACGGAATAACTAAACTTCTAGAATTATTCACATGAGCCGATGACGTGACATATTAATTAATAAAACTAAATTATAACTTATAAGATGTAATTAATTATCATACTATAAAATTTCTTCTTGAAATATGTAAGGTTCACGGGAGCTTAGGATTTTGTTTGCTGGAGTAGTTGAATGAGAGGGTAGTTATTATTGTTTTTTAATGTTTTTTTTTTTTAATATATTAAAATATATGAAAACATAAAAAATTAATTTAAAATAAAAAAAATATTTTTAAAAAGTAAAAACAAATGTGGTTTAAAACTGTATTTGTTTTAATATTTTAAAAAAGTTTTTTTTAATTTTTTTTTAATACCAACATATTAAAATATATGAAAATATAAAAAATTAATTTAAAATAAAAATATTTTTTAAAAAACACTTTTCAAAAACAAAAAAAACATGGTTTAAAAGTGTATTCGTTTTAATGTTTCAAAAATATTTTTGAAAAAAATATTTTTTTATTTTTTATTTGTTTTAAATTAATTTTTTAGTATTTTTAGGTTATTTTAATGTATTAATATCAAAAATAAATTTTAAAAATTAAAAAAATATTATTTTAATATATTCTTAAATAAAAATCATTCTAAAAAACAAACATTATAGCCTACTAACTTTAAAAATAAAAAATAAAAAATAAAAACACTTGAGTTTGAATTTTTTTCTTCAGTAATATAGTTGAGTTTGAATTTTTTTCTTCAGTAATATTAAATTTATATGCTCCCTTGAATCATACCATCTTAAATAATTGAGAAGCCTATCTAACTTGAATTATTTAGGAGAAAACACTTACCAACAACCATCTCAAATCGACTCGAAAAGGTTAGGATGATCCGTGAGCCACCACCCATAATATTTGTCGTTGGCTTGCTAGATGTGACCTATCTAATTTTTGAAAAGCGAAGTCTACGAACATCAAAGAAAGAGCAGAGCAACGCGACCCTAATATTAGCCTGATGGTTCAAATACACGATACACTGCAAAGTTTTAAACAGTATATAATTCAAAATAAAGTTGCCACGTTTCCTTTCCCCCCATAACATTTTACTCACCTTTTTTTTTCTTTTCTAAAAAGAAAGAAAAATAGAAAAAGAATCCAACAACCATTGAAATTATTAAATTACTATACAAAACAACCAGAAAAAAAATAATCCAAAACCAAACCTCCCCCAAATTTTTATTTTTAGGGTTTCAAGCCGACCCGCCAAATCCTCTCCTACTTGTTTTTGTTTTTGTTTTGTTTTTTCCCAATCTTTCCTTGAGCGACGGCATTTTTTTATGATCCGCATTATTGATTCGGATCCTAACAATGGCGTCGTCGTCGCCGCCGCCGCCTCCGCCTGCTTCCGTCACCAGATCGGAGCCTCCTAAAGTCTCACCGGTACTCCCTTTCTCCCAGCTCATGAACATTATTTTCTCTCACAAGGTTTCGTTTGGTTATTCTTAGTATGATTTTCTCTTTTGTTTGTTGATTATTTCTTAAGACAGTAGAGAGAACGTGTTTAATTTATAACTGCGCTGTTCGCATTAGTCTTAATTGTTTTTGGTGCATTTATATTGGTAATTTTGACTTTAAGTAATTTTTGCATAATTTGTGGTTCAAAACTAAATTTTGATTCAAAATATTGCAAAATCCTTGCAATGCATGTCGCTGCACTAGCCTTGGAGCTCCAGCTGATCCGGTTTATTTTACAATTGTTTTGGCTGGTGATTGTGATTTTCCTTTTTTCTTTAATTTTCAGTGAATTATTTTGAGGTTATTTATAATTTATGGTTATGATCAGACCGGTCTGGTCCGGTTCAATTTTTCCTGGTTGCTTGTATTAAGTTTTCCGATTTTAGTTAACTTTTTTTATTTCAGTTTTGGAATCGGTCGTTCATGGTTGTAATTACTAATTAGAATGGATACTGATGAATTTTTATTTTTATTTTTATACAGGCGATGGAGTCTGATGAAGAGACAGCTTTAACAAGCAAAATGGTTTTATCAGTTATTGAATCATTAAAGAAGCAAGTTGCAGCTGACCGATGTTTTTATGTTATGGTACATTTTTTGTTATTTGTATGAGATGCTTCCTTTTGAGTTTTTCTTTCAGGTCATTTATTTATTTACTGCTTTCAGAAAAGGATGGAAGACAACAAACAGAAGTTGGTTGGTGTTACGAACCACCTCTATAAGCTGTCAAAGGAAAGGAAGAACAGTTGGATTAGTGATACTGACAATAGTGTAGATTTATTTACAAAGAGGCAAAAGGATGCACTCAGTATGCATGGTGGTATTGATTCAATTAATGTAGATAAAGATAGTCGTGGCTCTGAAGAAGATGTTAATACTTCTACTGCAGTTCTTTTGGGATCCAGTATCCCAGTAAAGAATGCAGTACGGCCAATTAAGCTACCTGAAGTGAAGAGGTTACCCCCTTACACATCATGGATTTTTTTGGACAGGTATGTTTAGATTATTATGTATCAAGATTTTGTTTTACTGGAATGGTAGTTGGTCATTTTTTTATTTTGAGTTTTGAATTCAAGTTTCATGGTCTCTCTTTCTATACATCTTCATGCCACTAACTTGTAATTTGCTGCATTGGTTTTGGGTTAGTAATTTATGATATTCCTGCTGTAGAAATCAAAGAATGACAGAGGACCAATCGGTGCTTGGTCGAAGGAGAATTTATTATGACCAAAATGGGGGTGAAGCACTAATCTGCAGTGACAGTGAAGAGGAAATAATTGATGAAGAAGAGGAGAAGCGAGATTTTTTAGAATCTGAAGATTATATTCTACGGTTGGTATAATCATGGTATCTGGTGTGATGTATTGATTCTTTTTTCTTTAAATTGTATGCTAAAGCAAGGTTGATTGGCGCTGAATGTCTTAGGTTCAAACTTTTGAACAAAAAAGGGGAATTTTGTTTGGAGTGGGAGCTCCCTGGAAATTTTATCGTCATATTAAAGGAAGAAATTTTAATCTAGCTTGTATTTGAATGGACCAGCTTGTGGCCTTTATCTTGAGCATAAACAGTGCCAAATGCTGTCAAAATAATGGGCGTAGCTGTGTCAAAAATATTGATGAGTTGTCTGTTGATTTAGCCAGTGACTTTTGACAAGTAGTTGCCATGTGATGTAACTCGTATATGTTCGATAAAGTTTTAGCAATAAATGCTAAGAAGGAAAAGGGATAGCTATGTATACTGGTTGATGCTAAAACCTTGAATATAAATACGTTTAACTATCTCCTAGTTCAATGTAAATTATGTCATGAGATTTTTTTTCGGGGATTTTATTATGCTTTAGTATGCAACCTAGTTGTTTTTTCTGTTGGTTAATAATTTGTTTTGCCAGGATGACTATAAAAGAAGCTGGATTGTCCGATCCAGTTGTGGAATCACTAGCAGAGTGTTTTTCTAGAAGTTCTAGTGAAGTCAAGGTATGCATATGTTGCAAGAGGGTGTTTTTTCTAGTAATGAGGAGAAAGTATTATATTGAGACTATGTTATATGTTTTTTGCCTTCGATTGAAGGATCCATTTTTATTTATTCTAACAGTTGTTTCCATATAATATCTAATGAGAAAAAGGTCATAGTGTAAGCTTGGGTCCAGCCGTTTCCCATTTGCTTTTTGCTGGCTTTACACAGATATGAAACACCATCAAAAATCTTATACAGGCAAGATTTGAGGTTCTTAAGAAGGAAGAGAAGGCCGTGGAGGATTCTAAGAATAAAGATAATGAAGCACAAACACTGAATTCTTTTCTTGATAAAGATCTTGAAGTTGCTTTGGATTCTTTTGACAACCTATTTTGTCGCCGATGTCTTGTAAGCATCATTCTTGTACTACTTTCAGTGTTGTTCTTTTACTGTTACTATATAGCTTCCTCATTATGTTTCATGCTGGCAGGTATTTGATTGTAGATTACATGGATGTTCACAGGATCTTATCTTCCCTGTGAGTTGATCTTGTATGACTAACCATCATGATGTTGCATTAGTATCTAGAGGGAATCTCATATGTTTTGTTGACACACATATTTTAGGCTGAGAAACAATCTCCATGGAGCTATCCAGATGATAACATAACATGTGGTCCACAGTGCTACAAATCGGTATATGTGTGGTGATTTATTAATAAAATTTTTTTAGACTGGGCATTTCTGCACAAGGATCTGACAAACAAAAATATTTAAGTGCCATCAAATTCTTTCATGTCAGGTTTTGAAATCAGAGAGAATTTCTTCAGGGATTTCTCCTGAGCGTGGGTTTATTGAAGAAAATTCTGTTTGTCAATCAGATGGTGCTGGGGTGCCTATAACATCAAGAAAGAAATCTTCTGCTCCATCTGCCAACCGGAGGGTGAAGTCCTGCCAAAGTGAAAGTGCTTCGTCAAATGCAAAAAACATTTCAGAGAGCAGTGACTCAGAGATTGGACCTCGGCAAGACACCTCTCCCACTAGTCAGTTGTCACCTTCCAAGATTAAGCTTGTTGGGAAAAGTGGGACTTGTAAAAGGAACAGCAAGCGAGTGGCTGAACGTGTTCTAAGTTGCATGCGGAAAAAGCAGAAGAAAATGGTGGTTTCTGATACTGATTCTGTTGCTAGTGGAGGCCTTCTGTCAAGTGATATGAAACTTAGGTCCACTTCACACAAAGGAAAGGAAGATGCAAGCTCTTCTTCCCATAAGAATTTGAAATCTCCCACCACTGCAAGGTCTAGGAGAAAGAGTGAGTTTCATGATGGTCCATCAAGTGAGATGGTCATGGATCAACTTGTGCCTAGCAGTGATGACACCTTTAGGAAAGAAGAGTTCATGGACAAAAACACATGTAAAAAAGAGTTAAGTGATAACAGATCTTGGAAAGCTATTGAAAAAAGCCTATTTGAGAAAGGTGTTGAGATTTTTGGCGGGAACAGGTCAGGGGGTGCATTTCTTGTTCATTCTTCCCATTAATTTTGTTACAGTTTCCTTGTTCGTTGATTTTTTTTTTTGATATTCTGGAAGAGTGATGATTTTGACTGAGTGATGTTTGATGTGACCATTATGTTAGGAGGTACTTAACTTAATTCACCTATGGTAAATAGATTTTTACATTTTCAGTTTTCTTATTTCATTGCCATTAAATTTGTTTTAAGAAATAAAGTTAGTACAGTGATATCCAGTGGAATCAAACCCATGAAAGACTACTGAAGAAAACTTTTGTTAAACGCGATATTTGTAATAATGATTTCTTTTATTTAAGAGGTTTATTGAGTATCTTTGGTTAAAAAGAGTATTTCAGAATTAATGCTTTATAAGATGGAGTTAGATAAACAATGTGCTATAAATTATCCTGAGTGATTGTAGTGAGATTTGGGAATTCATTTTTTTAAGGCCTTGATTGGGGTGCGTGAAGGGAATTCATGAAATCTAGGGAATTCATGAAATCTTCACGCATTCCCATTGATCTACTTTACCATATGTGCTTCTTATCATGCATGCATACATAATACATGTGCTCATTCGCATTTTATTTTCCATTATTTCTTATAAATTATGATGACACTGACTAAATCAAATGAATGGTCCCAAAAATTTAACAGCCTTTACCATTGGCCTTACTACAGTTACACTCTAATGATCTTACTGATACCTTCATATTGCTCCTAAGAGAATTGGCTGCGGTTTCATCTATTCTCTGTCTAAATTTTGTTATTGTTCTCCATGACAGTTGCTTAATTGCTAGGAACCTCTTAAATGGCTTAAAGACGTGTTGGGAGGTTTTTCAATATATAACTCGCTCTGAGAATAGGCTAGCCTGTGAGGCAGGTGATGCTGGAACTCTTGGTGAAGGCTACTCCAAGTTTGACTGCAGCGGAACAGTGGTTAGAATTTTGCTTCTTGTATATGGCCATGTTTTTGTTAGGATGCAAGTGAATGTTAATCTTTTTCTTCCTTTTATTTTTTTTGGTTGGGGGTATTGAACTGCATATCAGGGTAAGAATGAAGCAAGAAGGAGATCAAGATTTCTAAGGAGAAGAGGTAGAGTTCGCCGCTTGAAGTACTCTTGGAAATCTACTGCGTACCATTCTATTAGGAAGCGGATAACTGAAAGAAAAGATCAACCCTGCCGTCAGTATAATCCATGTAGTTGCCAAGCTGCTTGTGGAAAGCAGTGCACATGTCTGCTAAATGGCACCTGTTGTGAGAAGTATTGCGGGTGAGCCTTCCTTTAACAACCCAAAATTTGAGATCAAGGTTTATGGTATTTGTATATCTTTTAGTTACCATTTATTTTTCTTCCAGAAATGAGAACTCAATAAAATTTAGTTTATCGTAGGGCTTCATTCAAATTTAGAGTTTTCTCTTGTAGAGCTTCATACCTTACCAGCTTTAACAAATTTGGGGCCTTAGATTTAGATGTTTTTTATTGTGTCTGTAAGTGTTTGATGAATACTCTCAACTATTTTTCACTTGCTCCTCTAGATGTCCTAAGAGTTGCAAGAACCGATTTAGAGGCTGTCATTGCGCTAAAAGTCAATGTCGAAGTCGACAATGTCCATGCTTTGCTGCAGACAGGGAATGTGATCCAGATGTCTGTAGGAATTGCTGGGTCAGGTGAGTTGGTGCTCTTGTTCCTTTTTTTCCCTCTATTTAATATATTCATGACCTATTTATTTCTAAGCTAATCATTTACTTAGCTTTGCCTGTGTACTGTTTTTATCGTAATTGTAGAAGATTATGAATTTTTTCTTGATAACTGCACTTGGAAATTAATGATGTGCACATTGGTAAGTAATACATTTGTTTCTGCTAATGTTGGATTGAATCACAAAGGTTTGAAATTTCCATTAAGTTGGTTCAGGTAGCCAAACTTTTAGCTTCCTTGGGTTGAAACTATATCAAGTTTCAAAGAATTTAAAGGTGGGGTTTGTGTATTCTAAATGTCAGCGTTTTGTTTGGTTACAAGAGGCTGTATCCCACAGGCTATGAACTGTGGACTTCAGAGTGGTAAGGCCCAAATTTTGGTTCTAAGTCCATACATGAAGGTTCCATTTCTCAAAATTTACCAGTGAAAGGTCAATAAACAGCACTCGATTAATGTCACTCCCACCACTGTGCCCATGCCAGCATTTACCAGCTTCATTGCATCCAAGCTTTTGCCATATCCATTCTCTTTGGCTCTTTGTGCTTAGGAAAATGCTATGGTTATTTCTGTCAGTTTTATATCATTTGATGTACTTGTGAAATTTCATCCTTCACAGGATTTCAAAATAATGTTTTGTTTATTACTTGTCCAGAAATATATTTATTCTTTTCCTCACTCTTCTTGCACTACTATATATCATTTGAACTGTTAAAATTTGCTTTGTAGTTGTGGTGATGGTACTCTTGGTATCCCCAGCCAAAGGGGTGATAATTATGAATGCAGAAATATGAAGCTTCTTCTCAAACAACAACAAAGGGTAGAGACACTTTCATCTTCTTATTACCTTTCATTGTTTGATATTTAGAGATAGGTACACGCATTTGAATATTCGCTTCTCTTAGTTGTCTGGCATTTGAAGTAATCTGTTAGTGCAATGATTGGTGAAGTTCTCTAGTAAACAGTACCATTCTTCTATTTGTTCTTAGTTGGCTGTCTTCATGAATGCCCATAATGTGGAAAACTATTCTTTTAGTTTGCTTTTCAGCTTCCTTTATAGAGTTGTGAAATTGACCAAGTTTTTCATTGTGGCTTGACTGAACTGGAAGCTGATGCTAAAATGCAGTCAACTGAAAAATGTGGTGTATAAGAAAGATTTGTGGCATTGCCATGCAATACAGAACTGCTTGTTATTTATTGGGCGATAAAGTTCAGGGTGTCCTTGGAAGCATATAGAGTTTATCAAAAAAAAAAAAAAATACAACATATATTGGTAGTTTATGAAATTATGAAGGTGTTTAAAGTCTTGCTATGAACTGGGAAGAAGTGCAAAGAGCGCTGTTAATGAAACGAGAACTGTTAATGAAACAGATGAAAGTGCAAAGAGCGCCACTTGCAAGATGGAAAAAGCCAAGGAATACCGTCATCCCAAATACCACCCTTAATGGGTTGCTCCACTTCATCAAATTTTTTTTTCTTTGATTGCTTTCTTTCCAATGTCCAGATCAAATTATGTATAAATTAATGCTTTCCAACAACAGACGTTTGATGGGGTCATTTTCAAGCTGCTTACCTTTTCTCCATCTTGCTAATATCTTGTTCTATGAATAGGTTTTACTCGGAAGATCTGATGTCTCAGGCTGGGGTGCTTTCTTGAAGGTAATATTCTGGATGGACTGCGTAATATAAGAAAATTTTGCCCTTGAATCCTTTTCATCCCATGTGCTTTTTGAGAATAATCTCAAGAGGCATTTGGGAAAAAACCTAGAGATTTATTTGCTTGTTTCCTCTTGTGAATATATCTGGCTCCTCACAGAGTAGTGTCGGCAAGCATGAGTACCTGGGTGAGTACACTGGTGAGCTGATTTCACATAGGGAAGCAGATAAGCGTGGGAAGATATATGACCGTGAAAATTCATCATTTCTCTTCAATCTCAATGATCAGGCATGACTCATTGTACTGATTTAAGATCTTATATGAGGATTCAACCACCATCTTTTATTGTTTATATGAAACCAAGATTTGTTTCTTGCAGTTTGTTCTTGATGCATACCGTAAGGGTGACAAACTCAAGTTTGCCAACCACTCTCCAGAACCAAATTGCTATGCAAAGGTATCCTCTTTGACTACTTTAGCTCAACAGCCTATCTAATATATATTTTTTGACTTTTGCACTTGGTTTCTGATTAATAGCGTGCTAAAAACATGGCTGGAATATATTTAATATCGTGCCACTGTTTCCTCACTTTCAACCACCGCGTTGTTTGCAGGTCATAATGGTTGCAGGGGATCACCGAGTGGGCATATTCGCCAAAGAAAGGATTAATGCAGGGGAGGAACTTTTCTATGATTATCGTTATGAGCCAGACAGAGCCCCTGCTTGGGCTAGGAAGCCTGAAGCGTCTGGATCAAAGAAAGAAGATGGCGGTCATTCAAGTGGCCGTGCCAAGAAGCTTGCTTAATTTGAGCATCTACTTACATCCTCCATTCAAAATTTTTTGTCAATTCTTTTACAATTACAAGCATCATTCTCACTTATCGTAGGGGATAGGTTCATGATCAGTCATTTTGTTATCGGAGAGGCCATTGTCATCTCCGCCATAACTTTAACTGACTTGTATTCCAATTTAGACTGAAACTAGTTGTTAACTCACCTGTACTACGATGATGTGGGTTGGAGCAAGAACAAACTGCAAGAAACAAATCTTACGGTATATAGATATTGCTAAAGTGTTTCTAGTAGCAAGAAAAATATTAATTGTGAACTCAAAAATCTGATGCGCACGTCAAATAAAAAGATTGAGAATCGCGTGCTAAAAAAAATTAACAGTGACTGAATATTAAGATGTAATTTAATCAACTTTATGAGTTTAAAGGTAACTTCAACTGCTAGTAGAAACTTGGCTTGGCTTAAAAGAAATTTCGAGGTGAAGTATGTTAAATTTATAATTTGGATTATTGATGTAGTTGGATTTAATAATTTTATATTTAATTATATGATATTAAAAACAGATGCCAATAAAAAGGAATTCAATAAAAAAATTTAAAAATGATCTTGATTGGTTGTCCAAAAAGAATTCTTGCTAGCATTTTTTCAGAAAAAAACTGCTATAATCTTGTTCAAAAGCAAAGTAAAAATTGAATTTTATTTAATAAAAATATATCTATAATATATCCATAATTAATTTAATAATTAATAAAATTATATATGTAATATATTTTAAATAATTTGATTGAAAATAAATTAAATTGAAATTCAAGGTTTGATAATTTTATTTAAAAAATCTTATTTAATTATATGATATTAAAAATAAAAACTCGTAGAAAAACAATCGAATAAATTTATTTAAAAGAAATTATTATGGTTAGTTGCACAAAAAAAATGCTTGCTAACTTTTAAAAGACTCCTATAATCTTAATCAAAAGCAAAATAAAAATTAAATAATATTTAATAAAATAATATCTACAATATATCCAAAATTAGTTTAATAGATAACAAAATTATATATGTAATATATTTGAATAAATTAATTGAAAAGATTTTAGATTGAAATCCAAGAAAAAACATTTAAAAAACCCTAAAATAGGCTCGGCCTAGATGCCCAAACACACTTAGTTATATTTTTCTTTTATAAACTTTATTTTTATCTAATATAATATGTTGTCTATTGTAGTAAACAAACGAACTCATTATTGACTAGTTTTCAATCAACTTTATTGATTAGAAAATTGAGATTCAAAATTTTAGATTTTAAAAATTTATTTTTAACTTGTTTTCACTTAAAAATACTTTAATAATATTAAAAAAAAAAGACATCATTATCATTGAATATCTTTCAAGAAGATAAAATTTATTTACACCAAAACTAGTCTATTTCATTATTAGAATGTGGTCAATTAAACTTTTATTTTTTTCATGTGTTAGTTTTTGAATACCCTTTCTCTTATCTCTTATATTCAAAATTGATTTGTTAAGAAAATGAAGTTTTGAATTAAAATTTATAATTGAACAACTAAAAGAACTAAAAAATTAATTATAAAAATCTTAAGGCAATTGTTTTTAGAAAAGGCGTTGGTAACAAAGTAACAAAGGATAAAGGTTCCATGTTTGTTTTATTGTCAAATTCATTCCCCAAAAATCAATTTATTTAACCAACAAAATCGAATCTTATATTTCCAAATCTAATATCATTTAACATCAACAGATATTTTTGACACTCGAGAACCTATCGGAAGCCATTCAGCATAAATTATAAACTCCAAATCTCATTTAACATATTTATAAGGATGCAATTAAATAAAAAAAATAAACAATATACTTGTTTATAGGTGGATAATTATAAAAAATATCAAAAAAACATTTGATGTTGTTTCATTGTTTCTATAAACAGTGAAACTCCACATTATTTTTAATTTTATTTTTTTATATTTAACCCTTTCATAATAAATTGATGTGTTTTTTAGCTTTATAATTTTTGATTGTTATTTTTGATAAAAATTATAATTCTGTTTCACAAAGTTGATACTCGGTAAACCATGAAATGATGTTTAAAATCATGAAAACATAAAATAATATGAAATAAAAAAATATTAAAAAAATAATGAAAATGCAACATAAAAGATATAATACTCGGGTTGCAATAGCTATCTATATTGTTTTCTTTTTTTCTTAATTTTTTTTTATTATTTGACTTTTGTTTTTAATTTGATAATTTTATATTCAGTTGATTTGATATTAAATTTTATATTTTATTTTAATTGATTTTATATGCGTTCTCATGATGTTAATAATAAATTTTGATGATGAATTAATACTCAATTTGAAAAAATATAATTCAATTTTATTTATTCAAACCAACCAACGAAAACTTTAATAATTCAATTTCAAATTAAAATAAATAAGTATTTTTAAAAAAATAAATAACATCTTCATTTTATTTTGTCTAACTTAATTTTTGATTGAAATAAAAAAATTTATTATCATTTAATATTATATATAATTCTCAATTTATTTTATTTAAATCACATATAAACTATTAAATTTGTATTTTATAATTTTTCTTGATGGTAAGAAAATTTTTTAATAACACCCACATCTTTCTTCTTTATTTGCGTTGGGAAAATAAAATTTATAAACTATATCTTTTCTTGAACTCTAGTTTTTACTACAATTTAAAAAATAAAAAATTAAATAATTTTTGAAGTTGTGATCAGCCTAAAAGAATTCCGGACTACAATGCACAACAATGCCCCTTAATCAACATTTAAATTCATAAAAAGTCCAGGGAATATAAATGTATAGAGAAAGATTAATTAACTCTAAGTATATATTTGTTTTTCGTTTATTAAGATAAATAAATTCTTGATAACCGAACAAGATATTGATATATCTTATAATATTACATCATATATAATAAAAGAGATTGGGGTTTGCTCTTCATGGAACAATAAAACATTGTTAAAGTACGTGTTTTTTATGAAAATTATATTTTAGTCCTTTGATTTTTTTAAATTTTTATTATTTGGTCCCTATAGTTTTTGGTATTTACATCTCATTCATGAACTTCACATTTTAATATTCAGTTGAGCTGATAGAAGTATGAGAAAGTCGCTCAAAAAAAAAAAAAAACAGAGAGAGGGAGGGAGAAAACTTTGGGTCAATCATATTTTGGTTGAAAAAAAAATGATTTTAGTGTAAATAATTTTGTGTTAGAGGGAAAGTTTGATGTAAGTGACTTTAATCTTTAACCATGCTGGAAAAAAATAGATCAAAATCTACTTTTTATTTTGAATTTTTGAATGGATTAAAATGTATTTTGAAATTAGAAATAAAATCATTAAGGCTCTTAAAACTTTTATATGTGTTTTTAAGTGAAAACATGTTTGAAAAATGGGTTTTAAGAAATCCAAAACTTAAATATTGTTTTTTTAATTATCAAAGGTGATCAGAATTTGAACTAGTAGATAATATATTATTTGTTAAATTTTAAAGTAAGCCAAGTAAACAAAGTGTCGTTTGCTAAAAAAATAAAATAAAATTGTGCCTGGACTTTTAAAAATGGTCATTCAGCCTTTTTTTTATTTTAAAATATATTTTTAAAAACAAAATTGTTTAAGTAATTTTTTAAGAAACTATCATATTATGCCGTAATTTTTAAATAAGGTTAGAGCTTTAGATGGTAATATTAACAATCACATAATGAATAATTATATATCAACTTAATATGTGGAATTAGTTTTTAAAAAGATAATCACAAATATTCAATGAGAATAAAAGATTGATTTTTTTTAATTGTTAATTTTTTTATTTAATATCATCCAATTAATTATTCTTTTATTTTTCATGCATTCACTTAAAATTTACTGAAGTACAATTTCTTTGTTTTTTTATTGAAAATTTCTTTTCAAATCATGATATGGTTTTATTTAAAAAAAGTATTTTTGATAAAAAAATGTCTTTTTCATAATAAAAAAACTTACATTAACAAAGAAAGGGAGTTTTGATTGAAAAGGTAGTTTTTTTCTCTTTAATTAAAATCATTGAAAGTTCTTATGAATATTTATTTTAATTACCTTTAATTTAATATTTATTTTAATTACCTTTAATTTTTACTATAAAAACCATGCTGTTAATTAAAAAGACATGAATAAGAAAAATGGATTTTGACTACAAAAATATATTTGTAAATTTACATCAGTATCCTTAAAAGAAATAACTTTTTTTAGCTTCTACTAGGATTACTTTTGTATTTTCATAGGAATAATGCATAATAAAATAACATATCTACCTTTGGAGTAAAAAAATAACTAACGATGGGGGAGCCTTCCTGTAATTTTAATTTTTGGTGCGTTATAAAATGACCTTGATGTCAAATAATTTAATTCTTAGGTTAAGGTTAAAAGATATTTGTGTTATTTTGTTGTTAGTTATTTATAATTAATGAGTTGGGGTGGGGTAATTTAAATCTTGGGGTTGTGTGTTGTGTATATGGTGGCCACTCTACCATCTTTGAACGGCACCTATGACTGATTTAGAAGGCCAAAATTATAGCCTTGGGGTTGCTCCCAATGCATCTCAACATGTTCTCCATAAAAATGCAGTGCTAAAAAGGCATTTTTTCGAGTGTGTTTGTCTCTATATAATTTTTGTAGCTATATTTTGAAAAAAAATATTTTTTATTTAAAAATATATTAAAATAATTTTTTTATTTTTAAAAATTATCTTACATATCTGAAAACATAAAAAAATATTAATTTAAAATTAAAAAATAAGATTTTTTTTAAAAAAATTTAAAACACAAAAAAATAAAATTTTACAAAAATTAATTATAAAGAAATATAATTTTTTTTTATTAAAAACTACATTTAAAACTCAATTTTTGAATATAATCTACAATTAAAAACACAATTTGATGTATACTGTGGTTTTTGCACCCTAAACGAAAAAGCTGCAGGTAAACAAACGCACCCGAGGCTTGGAAATAACCACCGAACCTGTGGGCCACCAATTGGACTTTAAGATGATGCTCCAATCTGAGTCAAATCGAGCCCTGTCCAAGTTTTATTTATTGATTCAGAGTTAACTCGAGTTTTTCATCATCGAAATAAATAATAATTAAATTTATTTAGAATAATGGATTTATTCCGGGCAAATCCCATACGTAAAGTGTTTCTTTTGTTATATCCTTCCCTTTTCACTGCAGATTTAATGTTAGTTAGAAGGACTCATCATTTTCCTACCTGCTAAAGCA